TGACCTGGCTTCAAAAGAGCCATTTTTGCATGGCAGTGAAGCTCGTGTCGAGGTCCATGGGGGTTGGAATAGGCAGTTACTCTATTTTCACAGCAGAAATGGAACCTTGGTTTGTCACAATAATCTTTTCTTTTCATTGTCACCTTATTATTAAATCTGTGAATAGAAAAAATGGGAAACAAACATCATTTTCGCTCCTCTTCCCTGGCCCTAGTTAGCCTCCAAACATCTCTATTTTCATTTCTATTATGAGCTACTTGTGTGATTTTTGCTGGAAAGCTGAAACTTGATTATATTTCAGATGTAAAGGTACCTTCACACAGATTAGACTGTCTTTTTAGTTGAGAAGAACTAAATATTTTAATTTATTTCTTTATTTTAAAGGGGAAGAAATTCTATTCACATGAATTGTATGTTTATTTGCAACCTCAATTTATTTAGTTATTTACTTGTGTGTTTCACTCTATGCTTCTTAGATCTCAAATCTATGGAATCTCATATACTTCTCATCTTTGATCACAAATTCTGACTTAACTTATTCCTTCATTTTTATGTTGCATCAATCTGGGCAATCTGTTAAAGGTTTCTCTTGGTAGACTATTTTGATAGGATCCCACATTGGCTCCACAAGAGATTGTGGACTGGTACTTAAGTTGGGGCCAAACCTCCACTCATGAGCTAGCTTTTGTGGTGGAATTAGGGTCTTGGCTTGAGTATCGTATCATTTGGTGCTCTTATTGAAAGGCCGGAGTGTGGTGGGAAAGGGCTACCTGGAAGAGGGCTAGGTGCTTGATAAGGTTAAAAGGGAACCGAGAAGAGTCCGGAGTGAAAGCTATCTAGAGTGAAGCCATCTACTCATCCGGTGCCGCCTAGCAGAGGGGGCGACCTAGAAAAGGGCTACCTGGTTCTTGATAAGGTCCGGAGTGAAGCCATCCAAAGGGGAAAGGGTTATCTGGTGCCTAGAAGAGTCCGGAGTGTGAGCCGTCTAGAGTAAGCCACCGCGGAGGTCGGCTTCTCAAGGGGTGGGCAATGATACGATCCCACATCGGCTCCACAAGAGATTGTGGAGTGGTACTTAAGTTGGGGCCAAACCTCCACTCATGAGCTAGCTTTTGTGGTGGAGTTAGGGTCTTGGCTTGAGTATCGTATCATATTTTTATCCAATTCTGACAGTATTACTCCTCAAATATTCAATCTATGATAATTTTTTAATCAATTCAAGGTATTGTTAGTAAGGCCTTTGAATTGACAATTGGTAATCCTTTTAGTTATATTCTCTTCAAGTAATCACATTAATTTTTCTCTTGATTTCTACTTTTGGGTTTTGAATCTGTAGGTGTATAGTATTCAATTTGAATTTATCATTTCTTTGCCTATATTTGCTGTTTCCGTTCATGCTTAGTTCTAGTTCTTTCTTAAATTTCATTGTTCTTTATTAGGTATTTTGAATCAACTTATGAGCTTTTGCCCAAGGTATCTTTCTTTTTGCAAATAACTGTAGCATGTGCTTGGTTTTGCTAACACTTTACTTTGGTTGTGTATTACCAGGTCGAAGGTGACCGGCAATTTTCTGACAATGACCAATCCGTAGAATTGGCTCTTCTTAGTCTCTGCCAGGAGGCTAATAAAAGCAAAGGCCGAATAGAGGTATTTTGTCTATTGAAAATTGTCCAATATATTTCATTGAGGAGTTCCATGATCTCATGAACTTTATGATACATGTAGGCTCTTAAAGTGCTTTCTCGTGCTATTGAAGCTGATCCTACCTCAGCACTTCTCTGGATTGTTTACTTGTTGATTTACTATAGCAATCAAAAATGCATTGGAAAGGATGACATGTTCCAATATGCGGTATGTCTATTTTTTTGGGTGAAATAGTACTATGAAGCAGTGGCTATGCCAGTTTGCTTTAGTTAGGCCATTATAAAATATAAATGACTTTCCCATACCATTTTTTTGCCTTACATTCTCAATTTTATGGAAGTCAAAGATTGGGTTTTTTATCTTATAAAATAATCAGTACTCTCATTTTATATGCCCCAACTTGCTTCTGATGGTCAACTTAACTTTGACTAATTTTTAAAATGTCTTTAATTTTTGGATTTAAACTTTTTTAGTCGGATATTTTTGAATTTCTAAGATTAAGAAAATGGTATTGGGGCAAATGAAGTGGTTTGTATGCAGTTGTTTGAGCATTTTGACCTGTATCTATGTAATTTTTTCTTGTGGGGTCATTTTACTGTTTCATAATTGCTAGCATAATTACATGGTGAATTATATTACACATATTAGGTTTTTAAAAAATTGGCTGCACGCCTGTACCTGCTTGATCCTTACTGGAATTGCCCCTGCCAAGTGCTATGAAGAGGTTAATTTTAGCTGGCCTGAGATTTCCATATTTTTAGTTACTCAAATTCGTTACTCAAACTGATAGAAGCAGTCATGTAGAATGGGGTCACTCTTTTGACATTTTGAGACAGCTTTGAGAATTCACCAAGTCTATTTTCTATTTCATTCATAAGCCTTTACCTTGGAGTTTTCTACTGCTCTCTTTTCTTTTGAAATGAAAGGTGCCCATTGTTTTCATCTCTTGATTTCTTTAACATATTTTTTAATTTTCTTTTCCTAGTTATTCCTTATTTGTTAAGAGTAGTTTCTATTTGCTTTTTGATTTTCCTTCAGGAATCCAGTGTTTTTGAATTTATTCACTTTTGACATGATGCATATGCGTTTCTATTCTACTTCACAGGTCGAGCATAATGAAGAAGCATATGAACTCTGGGTTTTATATATTAATAGTCGGGAAATGCTTGATGAGCGGTTGACTGCATATGATGCTGCAATATCTGCACTTTGCCGTCATGCATCTACATCTAACAGAGCCACCCCTTTTGCCAGTGAATGCATCTTGGACATTGTTTTGCAGATGATGAATTTTTTATGCATGTCTGGCAATGCCAAAAAAGCTATTGAGAAGATCCATGAGCTCTTTCCCACAACAAAGGGATCTGACAAGGCACATCAATTGTTTCTCCCTGATATAGTTATGTGCTTAGCAATTTCAGATAAATGTATTTTCTGGGTGTGCTGTGTGTACATGGTTGTGTATAGGAGATTGCCAAATGCTATAGTCAAACAGCTTGAATGCCAGAAAGAACTTTCTGCTATAGAGTGGTCATCTACTCAGTTAACAGCTGATGAGAAGCAGCAAGCAGTTTCCTTGATGGAATTAGCTGTAGATTCTTTAGCATTGTATATTGATAGAGAATCTCTTGAAAATGAATCAAATCTAAGAGCAGCACATCTCTTTGCTCTCAATCATGTTAGGTGTATTGCAGTGCTTGAAGGCCTAGAGTGTAGTAGGAATTTGCTGGAGAGATATATCAAGCTTTACCCATCTTGTTTGGAACTTGTTTTGATGTCAGCTCGGCTAGAACATGATTTTTGTAATTCGAGTTATGAAGGATTTGAAGAAGCTTTAGATAACTGGCTGGATGAAGTTCCTGGAGTCCAGTGTATTTGGAATCAGTATGCTGAATGTGCATTCAGAGATGGCAGACTGGATGTTGTGAAGGAAGTAATGGATAGATGGCTCCAGTCTTTAGATAGAATAGTCAGCAAGGGCTCCAATGATTCACCCCAGTTGGCTTCAGTCTCAGATGTGCATTCTTGGCTTTCTGGTTCTAGCCAGAATGACATTGTATTCGGGCTACTCAATTCTGCTATCTATAAGCTACTGCAAAATGATCAGACTGAATCTCGGCTGGCTTTAGATAGGGCATTGGGTTCTGCTAATCATGAGAATTATAGTCACTGTGTGAGAGAGCTCATCTTGTTCCTGACAGCAGATAGCTTGCAATGCAATGATTGTACTCGTGTTGGGAGCGCTTTACAAGTTCTGAGAGGCTACCTGTTTGATACTCGTGCTTCCCTTGCCTCTGAACCATTGTCCAGAAAGTTCATCCAGAATATCAAGAAACCAGGACTCAAGCAACTAGTTGGAAAATTGTTGAGCCCTGTTCCCTCGGACCCCTCGCTAGTAAACTCGATTCTTGAAGTGTTGTTCGGTCCAACTCTCTTACCTCACACGTATAGTAAGTTGAGTGATATGGTAGACTTGGTTGAAAGTTTAATGGAGATTCTTCCTTCTAACTATCACTTAGCAATTTCTGTCTGCAAATGGCTAAGCAGGGTAAGCAACACCACATCTTTATCTGCGAACGTTTCCTTTTGGGCGAGTTCTCTCTTGTCAAATGCACTCTTGCAAGCCATTCCCGTAGCAGCGGAGCACGTATGGGTGGAAGCTGCAAATCTTCTGCGTAGCATGACAAACTCCCTGGCCATATCCATCAATTTTCATAGGAGAGCCTTATCGATATATCCATTCTCAATCAATCTTTGGAAATCTTATGTCAACCTATCTATGGCCACAGGAGATGCAGAGTCGGTGAAAGAAGCTGCAAGAGAGAAGGGTATTGACCTGGATTAACTACTGATGTAGTGGTGCAATGCCAGCTGATTTTAACATATAGTGAAGTGAAGCAAATTTTGGTTATTGTTTTGTTTGCGTTTGATAGATCAATATAGGCGGTAAATGGAAGGTATAGACATGACAGCAAAGGTGGTGGGTGTACACAGGAAACATAAATAGCTAACAACTTGGGTAATGTTGTTTTGGAGACAGGCTCAATCTCTCCAACTGTTCTCTCATTGCCTGGAGAATAAAGGGGTAAAATTTGAGTCAGTTTGGTGTTTGTCTCGAAATATTGGATTACTAATGACTAGACCAGATATTAAACTTCATTTTCCATACTTGTCTCTCTTCAATTGGATGTGGAGTTAATAATACACAATTTAGTCTTCGACTATAGTAATTCTTCTTGATTTAGTCATAAATGTCTTTTTGTGTATAATTGGATTATCGATTTTGATAGTTTTACCTAATTGAGTTCTCAATTGTTAGAATCAAGGATTAAATTGAAAAGAACCATTATAGTCGATGACTAAATTGGGTAGTAACATTCCCCAAAAGTGTATATTACAATTATTTGAAAACAATAACACTATTATAATGAACAACAGCTTAGAAAGTTACAGAAAATCATGTGGATGTGACCTGGGCAGCTCTACCTTTCAATTCAAAGACACTGTAATATCCTTGTTGAAGCCTTGAACTACTTGTGGTTGTTTATGATCAATTGGAAGTGCATCATTATTATCTGGTGAAGTTTGATCCTTGGATTTACCCCATATAACTAGGTACAATCCAACAAGAACAACTACTGCTCCCAAAACCCTTCATTATAATAAAGGTGTATCATCTCATGTCAGAAACATTATTATTTACTTATTTCCCAGAAAGCAAACAGAAGATGAGATGCTGTGCTGTATACCTTCCCATATATAATTTCTCAGAAAGCACAAAGGAGCCAATGATGGCGACGAGAACCATGGATAGGGGATTAAAGGCAGTAACAAAAACAGGTCCTTTTACCTTCATTATTATCCCATATATGTAATACACAGCCCCTGACCTCACTAACCCCTGCATCATCAGTTCATACACTGTTATCCAAAAACATTAATATAGCAAAGAATCAATAACTGCATTTATTTACTCCCTAGTTTTTTTTATAGTATGCCCGCCACATATTGAGTTTATGAAAGTAGTGTAGTAAAAATAGATGAAAGAGAATTTAGATTTTACGTGATAAACATAAGTTAAGAGTGTCATATCCCATTGTAGAGACCAAACGGAAGCATTTCCCCTCTCGACTATTAACGTCAAAATACTGCATTGTAGCGACCCTATTGTGCATATCAAAGTAGTGAGAGAGAGCCCGGCAGGGTATGACTTGATCATATTTGCCTATTAAGACAACAAAACATCAATTATTAGTTTTTTGTTTTTTTTTTTTTTTGTTTTTTTTACAAAACATTTTAAATAATGTTATATTGTAGCTTTATCTTTAGACAATGAATTAAAAAATTGGCTGTTGTTTACTTGTTTGGTGCCTTAACTAAAATTTTATTCAGGAGATCGAATAGTAAAATTAAAGATGACAGAGCAGATAAACTAGTGACAATAAGATTAAAAAAAATTGATTGTTCCAATTACCTTGCTTCCACTAAACATTTACCTCTCTAAATTAAAATTCATGATATTGAAGCAGTAACCGCTTCAACCAAATTTAATCTAAAAAAAATCCTTTAGAGAATTATTAAGACGTTCCCACTCGCCCAAAATCAGCCTAAGGGGCTTGAATAAAAACATGATTTAATGAATTTAAAACTTTCACATAATTTTAAAAAAGGCGTTTTGGCAATTAGTAGTCGATAGCCGATAGGTGATAGTTGTTTTGACTAACAAGTAATATTAGTAGTTTGTAGGGAGAGTTAATACCTTCCGAGGTCTTTCGAGTATAGTGGTTTTGCCACGTTTAGTCCTAAACTTTCAAATTGACCATCTGTGGTCCTTCGACTTTCAAATTTAACCATCTATGGTCCAAGTTAACCACCCATGGTCCTTCGACTATTAAATTTTAATCATCCATGGTCCTTTTAAGAGGACCACGATTGGTTAAATTTTGAAACTTGAAGGACCATGTGTGGTTAACTTGGACCATGTGTGGTTAACTTGGACCACGAATGGTTAAATTTGAAAGTCGAAGCACCACAAATGGTCAATTTGAAAGTTTAGGACTAAACGTGGCAAAACTACTATACTCGGAGGACCTCAAATGGTATTAACTCTTTGTAGGGACATGGACCGATCCAGAAATTTTCTTCCGTGGAGGCGAAAGAAAAATAAAATGGAACACTTAGAGGCAGATCCATAAATATTGTTGACTAGAAATTTAAAAAAAAATACATTAAAACGTGATAAAAAAACATTCAAAACAAAGGCCATGTTTGGTAAATGGTTGTTGGCTGTTATCTGATTGGATTAATTAGAGGGTATAATTAGTTGATAACATTAGCTGATTGTAAAAAGGTGTTTGGTAAATTAGCTGTTAGCTGATAGCTGTTTGGTATAATTCTTTTATCGAAAAGCTAATTGAAAAAGTTATTTTGAGTAGTTTTTTGAATTTTAGCATTTTGAAGCACAAAAAGCTAATTGACCAAACACTTATATTAATTTTTAAACCAAGCCAAACAACTAATAGTGGTCAAATGAGTCAAAATTGGCCTATTAGCTAACTATTTTACCAAACAGGGCCAAAAACATAATTCAAATAGAAATTAAATTATAAATTACTCATCTCAATATTAATATTTTAAAAAAAACCCAATAATGTTATATATAAAGAATCCAATTAGAATTAGAAATTAATCTCATAATCCACAATTATAATCTCACTATTAATATTTAAAAAGCCCAAAAAATAAAATATAGAAAATCAATGCTGTAAATTTCAAACCCAAGACACTTCACACACTATCATAAACCAAACCACCTAAGCTAACTCATCCTTTGGTTAAATTTTTGTGCATATGATATTTATACACGTTTAGTAGTTATATATAAGGGACCTATTCATACAATATATATAAAGGGAATGAGGTGGGGGAGAGGGGGGCAGCAAACCCCACTGCCCCCATTGTAGATCTGCCCCTGCGTAGGAATGTATTTAACAAATTAACTATGTACAATTAGTAGATTACATGTAAAATGATTTATATGGAGATGCATTTAATCTTTATTTATTTAAATGTGCTTATTTTTTTATTTTAGATATTAAGTTTAAATAAATTTAATAAATATTATTGGAAAAATGACCATTTTAATAAAACCCAAACCAACTGAATGGTGGTAATCAAATATATTATCAAACCCTCATTTTAGTGACTTGGTTAAGTTAAACAGTTAAGATTGTTAGATTAATAAATTTTTAATTGATAAGTCATTTAGCAATTAAACACCCAAAACATGTGTACCTGAAGAATTATAAATATGGCTGTGCTACAGCAGCTCCCAGCGAGCAAGAGCGTGGCCTTAATGGGATTACTATGTTGATTCAAAACATGCTGAGCAGAATGAGATACGACGTCATTTGAGTGCTTGGTCCAGGGCAATAAGATGATGGGTCCCTTCACAAGCGTCATTATCATGGCCCCACCAATTGCTGACGCTGTTCCAACTATCTTTGCCTGGCTATGCAAATTCCTAATCTTCACTTTCTCAAGCCTACACTTAAAAAAAAGTTATTTCCTATATAATTTTTTTTTTTTTTAAATATTATGTTTGAAGTGACACTAATATAAGGTTATGTTTGGTAACATAATTAACTTATTAGTCAATTTTGACTTATTTAACCATTATTATTAGCTTTTTGATTTGGTTAAACAACCATATTAGTGTTTGATTAATTAGTTTTTTGTAACACTTTATTGTTCTAAAACGCTAAAATTTAAAAAGTTACTCAAATTAGTTTTTTTTTTTCGATTAACTTTTTGAGAAAGTTATTTTATATGTAATCATCTTTTTTCTAATAGCAAATTTACCAAACATCGAATCTTTCTACAATCAGTTAATGCTATCAATTAGTCAAAGTCACTAACTCAATCAGCTAATAACTATTTACCAATTATCTCAAATTCTTTTTCCTGCATATTATGCTGATATCTTGATTTTGCGAGATGAAATTGATTAATGATATGATGCATATTAACATACCTAAAGATCCAAGCTAACAAAAATGTCATGGCGGGAATAAGGTTTAACATTGTCACTGAAATCGTCGCCGTTGTGTACCTCATTCCTACGTAATACAAATTCAAGTTGAGTTGCCTGCACATATATGCACCAATTTAATAACCATATTATAATATAGTGTAATGTGTTGTCGTAAAATCTTCAATAAAATTAAAAACAAAATTTATATAACGTTCGTTCTCTATTACTATTGTTAAGTATAGATTCTCGAGTCTGTATTGAACTCAATTCGAATTAGTATTGCATTAGAGAAGATATCAGGTGTTGTATTAAGTATAGATTCTGGAGTGTGTATTGAACTGAATTCGAATTAGTATCGCATTAGAGAAAATATTGGGTGTTGTATAAAAATAATGATAGGAGAAAATAGAGAAATAAATATTTTAATTACTCTAATAAGGCAAGCAACACTATCTTGAAGAATATGGAGGTGGTCATTGTAGGCCTCGTTTTCCTGTATCAAAGAATCACCCATAGAATGTTAAAAATCAGAATACATAACATATAGAATACAAATCTTATTTCTTGATAATGATGATTAAAAAAAAAAGTAAAATTATAATATGTATATTTTTGAAATGTAAAATTTAAATCTTAAATCATTATATGTCGTGATTTTATTGAAGGAAGAAAATGAAAGAAATAAAATTAATTTTTTTTTTCATGTGGTTGAAAAAAAAATGATATTGTCTTTTAACGAGGAAACTTGTGATATTAGTAATTTTTTATTGGATATGATGTAAAGGACGCACAAGAATGATGCATGTAATAATTAATCTAGCTTAAGGTTGGGTATCAATGCAAAATATGTTTAAGAGAGATTAATGGCTTGTTTTATGAGTACTATTGATTTTTTTACAATGTAGTATCTGTCTATACATGCTTTCTCAATCTATTGAAGCAGAAAAAGTCAATGTCCCTACTGGGATTTGAATTTATGATCTCCAATTTAGGAGAGCCACAGTTATGTACTCACTTGATCACTAGAAAAATGTAACATGTATCTTTATGGTTTATGGCTCTAAATATCACTTATTAAAGATCATGGTGCGACAGAAATAATCTGGAATGATTCATGGTGCGGGATGACACTTTAGCTTAAAAATAAAGAATAGAAAGTGAAAAATAAATATTATGGTTTATGGCTCTAAATATCACTTATTAAAGATCATGGTGCGGCATGAATAATCCAAAATTGTTCATGGTGCGGGATGACACTTTAGTCAAAAAATAAAGAATAGAAAGTGAAAAATAAAATAAAATAAAAAGGGGTCGGAGAATTGAAGTAAATGTCAAAAAAGATACCTTTCTAAAAATAGAGCGAAAGGAGCAAAGATAACAGCGGCGATGGCATTTCGGTAGAAGGAGAAAGTGAAAGGATTCATCCCTTGATTAAGAGCAGCCTTTGAAAGGATGGCGGAGCCTGCACTGGTGACCTGCAAGAACATCACTCCCAAATATGGCTTTGCATCATTATTTAACCACTTCACAACTCTCTCATTTCTCATCATTATATTTTTTATTAGCTCTTTTTATTCCCCCCTACTTTATGATCATAATCTCTTGGAAGGTTGGCCTATTAATAGAATGAAAAATGCCGACATGCATACCCATCTCAATTGATTTTGGGTGATAAATTGTGGACAATGACACAAGATTGATCTTAGTAGTCGGACTATGAGAGTTTTACCTAATGTAGTAAATATTAATAACTGGCATTGGTCCTACCAACTCTCAAGTCTCATCTAATAAACTGTTGAGTTATTGTGTTTTACACCTCTACTATCCAATCATTATTGTGTTTTACACCTCTACTATCCAATCATTATTGTGTGGACCATACTATAAAATAATGTACATTTAGTATATTAAAAATGTGCATTGTATTCAGGAGAAATATATTACTTGAGTATTAAAAGTACATTATTTTGTATGATTTACATTCAATACACAAATAATGTACTTTTAGTATATTAAAATGTACTTTGTGTTATAGTCCACACAATAATTTGCCTCTACTATCCTCTTGGGTCGATGTGTGGTGGCTTTAGGCAAGTAAATTTCACTTTTTGTGGACAATACTGAAAAATATTGCTCACCCTACCCATTATTTATTACACTTTCACTATTATTACACTTTTACTATTATTACTACACTTTTTTTCTTTTCTTTTTTTTGACTATGTTGGAAGAAAGATTGGGTTTTTATGGATGATGCCGAACTGGTGTGTGTTCTTCTCCGGTTGCAAAACATTATAAAATGAGTAAATTTCATTTTTTAGGCATTGGTTATTGTGTCATTGTCATATTTAATTAGTCATACTCGATCTTTTAGTCTTTATTACATATTTTACTTTTATTTGTTTGTTACAATTAGTTATCTATTTAAATATTTGATATTCTACCTTTAAGGAAGATATTAACATGTAATTTTATGATTCAAAACTTTGCCTTAACATATAATTTCTGTGTCTCATTGATAAATTTTTAATTGAATGATGAAATTACATGTTTTTTATATTTATTAAATTTACAATGATAAAAATCTAAATGAAGAACTAATATAACTGTGGTAAACAAATAAAAATTAAAACTATAACGATACAAAATAAAAAATAATAAATTAAATATGACAATACCAAAATAGTGAAGGACTTAAAGTAAAATTTGCTTCATAAAATTGTGTATGTATGTATAGATATCCACATATGACATATCTACTAAGTGGACACTAAGCATAAGAATGAAAAGTGGGCTTACTCTCTTCTTAAGAAAGTGGGTTTAGTTAATTTGTTTAATCATGTCACAACCCACATCCAAATTGTCCACCCAAATATAATAATACATTTATCCAAATATGCATGCAACTATTGGCCTGGTGCTGAGGTGTAACACTATACTTTGTTTTACCATTGGCCTGGTGATGAGGTGTAACACTAAGTTTTACCTAAACCATCCATTACAAAATGGCATCCATTACAAAATGTCGGAAGTTTACACAAATGTGTAAACTATGAATTCCTTTGAGTTAATATCCAAAATGGTTCTCGAATATAGTGATTTTTTTCAATTTCGTCTTAAATGATTTTGGTGATCTAATATAGTCCTAGATTTTTATATTTTTGTTTAATTTAGTCGCACGTTTATTATTTCATCAAATTAGTGTTAAATAAATGGACAATTAAGTAATCTCAATATAAGATTCTCTTTACTCTTAGCTCTGCGAAGTGCGAAATCCATCTTTTTTTTTACAAATTATGTCTAGAATTACTCCCAGACATGCGAATCAAATTTTATATTCATAGGTTTGAGAGTAATTCGTAAAAGAAAGAGGGATTTCACACTTCACAAGTATAGGAGTAAAGAGATGTCAATATTGAAATTACTGAATTGTCCCTCTATTGAGCATAAACACAAAAGTCTGTGACTACATTAGGTCACAAAATCGTGTAGGACGAAATTAAGAAAAACCACTATAGTCAATGACCATTTTGGGTATTATAACTTGAATTCCTTTTATAAAACATATGAACGGATCTTATCTGCATATCTATGTTCATTAACAGTTGAAGATTTAATAAAAAATGAAGGGTCAATTTTATAAGTATTGTAAACTTTTAAGTTTACAATACTTATAAAATTAACACTGTCATTTTTCTTTTAGTTTGCAACAACCCTCATTTGTTGATCTATCCAAATAGATGTATGAGACTAATATGCACTTTTTATGTAGGAGTATATAATCATTATATTGTAACATAAACCTACACACACACAAGTTATAACTTGCGCTTTGTGCGAATTAACCCACGCCCAATGTGTGAAACTAAAGAAAATAAGTAAAGAATAATCACTATAAGTTGAAATAAAGGGAAAATGACGGTTTTAGTCGATTAATTATACCAAAATGGTAGACTCAGTCAATAAATTATTGATATATACAACTTTTCCCCTTTTAATTACGTTGACACCTAAATTTTTAATGTTAACATATAGCCCAACATAACTCAGACCATTACTTATAAATTTTGTTAACATTAAAAATTTGTTTTGATTTGCCAAATTATTAGAAGACAAATTGGTCATTTTGTAAAATTTTTACAAGTATTAAAAAAAAAAAAGCTTTTTGTTATAAATATTGTAATTATGGACATTATATTGTAACGTTTGTAATAGTAGCTTGTAATTATTACCATTATGTCATTCTTTATTATCTTGTAAATATATATACTCTTGTAGTAGAAAGAGTGTCCAGTGAATAAAATATGATTCTCCCTACATCTTTGTCTAGTACTTTTCACTTTTCCTCTCATCTTCTATCCTGCAAATGATTCATCGGTTAGGAGCTAATGGCCAACTGGCATCTCGCTTATAACACGTTATCAGCACGCTCTTTCGGTGAACGGTATGCTTATTTTCTAAATTAACATTCGTATTTGTTAAAAGTTCTAATACATTGCCTATTTGCATTATGAAATCCTGTTGATATGGAATACAAATGCTTTACAGTTCTTAAAAATATAAATGCAATTTGTATTGGTAAAATTTTGGTATCTGCTGATTAGTAAAATAAATTTGAATGTTGGTATATGCTGTTATATATCAGTGCATAATTTACACATTCTGACATTATTGGGTCTAAGAAAATTTGAAACGTACACAATTTTTTTTCGAAAATACAAGTTTATTTTGAAAAAGCTATAGATCAGCTGTTGACTCTCTGGCCTTGACGACAATTGTCGAATCTTTTCCCAGATCGTATTAAAAAAAATCGACACATTTATCATTATTTTCGAATTTTTTTTCAAATCAAATGATGAACAAAATCTGTTCGCCTTCAATACACAAAACAATTAATCAGCCAGCTCCGCCACCGCCTATATTCTCGTATTCTATGTTTTTTTTAAAAAAAAAACAACAACAAACCTGTTTTTGGCCGATCTACCGCCGTCGATCTGCGTCCCGGATGGTCGTAGCTTTGGCGGAGAAGATTGTAACATCGCCGGCGGAGGACGGTAGGCGCAGCGGCGACAGTGGTCACGCGACAGCAGCAGAAGGCATCTCGCGATTGGCCGGCGCTGCTAGGCAATGGTGATGGTAACGGCGGTTCTGTGCCATCGGCGTCCCGGCAGAGGACCGCGACGTGGAGTTCCAGCTGAGGCTGGCGGCGTCTCCGGCTCTGCGATCGCTTCTTTTTTTTTTTTTTTGCCGTGCCTCTGGTCTGATTTGCAGAAAATAAGGGTTTTCACCCTTGTTTTTTCTAAAAAGCTTAATTCAGGCTTGTTTTTAGGCCCAAATCTGAATTTTTTTTTTAAAAAAAATGGGTCAGGGGTGTTTGGGCTAAAATCTGACCTTATTTCTTTTAACATGGATCATAATGTTTTATGCCATCTTCTAATTGGTTATTATATTTGGGTTTATGATTATTTAATCTTTTATCATATACATATCAATGTATAAATTGTTTTGGGCATATTATCAGAATTTTTATTTTTGAATATGCTTATATATTAAATTGCTATTTTGTGCAATTTATTTTGGATAATATGATGAATTCATATGCGTATTCTGTTTCATTAGCATAATATATAGTTTTATTATTATGCGAATGACAAATTATACTTTAGAAGTGGACCCTCGGTTTTAGGCAGCCTTAGTATATATAATTTTTGTTGCAAAATCTCAATCTTGGTTGCTATCATCAAGTGTGAATTCACCAAGCTTGGTTTCAACGGGAGCAATTACTTAGGAGTCCACGAGCGATGAGGTTTTGAAAGCTAAAAGCCCTAATTTTTCCTCGCCACCATCTGAACCATGACCTGAAAAATGAATACCTTTTTGAAAAAGGACCCATATGCCTTATAGAAATCCCTGGAGGATAGTTTTAACTAGCAAATATTCCTAGCCCTTCCTTAGACACAATTTGACTGACTTAACTTGAGATTTCAAGATTTTAAAGTCAGTGACTGATTATAATTTGGCTTTCCACAAAATTGTGTCCCAATCTAACTTTGCACCAGTGCCCGAAGCACACAATGTTGCTCAGTCATGCAAGTCAAGGCAACGGTGGCAACAATAACTCCCAACAAAATGATCAAACTCGTTGAGGACAACCACTTTCATACAATTAGAACTCTGGCCTAACATCAAGTATGCTTCAAGTGTCGGTGTATAGGGTATTGATCAAGTACGTGTCACACCTAAAAAGACAGATATGATCTAGTATCTTATGGATAATGCCTAATTTTCAGGTTATCCTATGAACTTCGTCCATTTTTCGACGATTATTATATGACATTAAGCATTAAGGAAGAGTATCAAGTACTTTAAGCAATTTTGGAGGAAATATTTTGTTGGGGACCTTCAAAATTGAAAAACCAATATGCTGATCCACTACATATGGCATACGCTAGTACAAGATGCATTTCCCTATCTGCGTTAATTTTTTTTAGTATGCAACCCTTCTAGCTATATCTCATCATGAGAAATCAACAGTGATGTTGGTTGCATTATAAGATCTTTTCTCGGCATTAGGGGGAGA